CAAGGCGGACTAACGGGAAGTGAATGCGGCTATGGTTGCAGGCCGCAACGGTCGAGGGACAGCTGAGGACTCGCTGTCCGCCATAGTACGCCGTCAGGCGTATGCTCGGCTGCACTGCGGAAACCAAGTCCGCCGTGGCACAAACACAAACACAAGTTGGCCCGGGCGGCTGCGGGTTGCGGGAACAAGGCGGAGCAGCTGGGCGAGGCAGCAAAAGATGTCGCGATCATGAGCTACAGCAAAAACAGCCGTGAGTGCAGGCAGGAGCAACCGAAGACAGTAGAGCACGCGAGGAAACGCACAAAACAACAGCAGCAGCCACGAGACTTGCAGGTCATGTATGCCAGGGAGCATCTGGAGGAGAGCACGGCTGCACGGAACGGTGCTGGAGCTGCGCAGCGACGTACTCGTCCGTTCCCAGGGGGCTGCCGAGGAATTGCCGAGGACACGCAAATCACGGTCATGTGGGGGCAAGGCGGGGTCACCAGAAGTGGTGCACCCTTCCGGGGGGGGTGGGAGATGGGGCAGGCGAACACTGCAGAATTCCATTTGCCGGTATGGAGCCGGATGTGAAATGACGCGAACAGATGCCGTCCACACAAAAGTAGACGGCGCGCCATAGAACAGGCGGACGAAGGGAAGCATGGCGGAGGCTTCAGGCGTGTGTTGGAGCTCGGAGAGCATGGCTTGGCGGCTCGCGAAGTCGAATGCACCAAGCCGTCAACAGAAAAGACAGTGCAGCTGGGGTCAGTATCGGTTTCGAGTTGGAGGCTGTGGGCGAGAGCCTCTGCCCTTGCACGTGTGGACAGGGCAAACTGGTGGGGGGGGTGGCTTCATCGATGGGGGACCAAACGGCGGAGGAAATCCCCGACAACAAGTCCACGGACGCCTCCGGCCGGTTTGCGCAGAGCAAGAAGGCGTCCAAGGCCGAGTGCTGAAGCAATGGAGGTGGGGAGGCGGGCACGTGCTAGCAGCAGTCGGCGTCGTCAAGGAGCAATCGCGCGATATCGGCTGTAAGTCCACGGGGGCTGAGCTACGCAAGTTGGTGAGCAAAGTAGCCGCAGGCAGTGCGACAGGTGCTTCGGGGAGCCAGGACAACAGGTCAGGGTCAAGCGGTGCGTATGGCTGGCAAGGGCGATGGGCGGGGTCGCGCAGCTGCTGGAGGGTGGCGTGGTCGCTCTTCCTCAACCAACTGTCGAACCAGCACGACACACAGATCGGGTGCATGGTTATTGTTATTTTCGGACGCTTCCCACTGCTAGCACACATGCGTATGCAATCAGCCTTGTTCGCTGACGCGGCTGCGGGATTACTTGGACGAGTTGCCGCTCTTGTGCAGTTGGCCTTGCGCCATGGCGGCCTGGGCCTACGCAGTGCGGTCCGTCAGCGGCCTTTGGGGCATCTTGGGCCCTCCATGGAGCGGGTCGTGCCACGACGGGGGTTCAAAGCCGCCTCGGCGAGCTTTCCGCTGGCCTGCAGCTCCAGAGTTTGTTGTAACTGTGCGTGCACAAACTCGGGCGGTCGAACGGTGCTCCAAGCAAAGCGAGTCCACGCTGGACAGGGCGAGCAACGGATCTCCAAACCAAATGCGGGAGGTGGCTGAGAGGGCATGCAGGCCACCGGCGGCAACACCAACTCCATTCCAGATGGCTGTCTCAGACAAGTTCAAGGACAGGCGGGTGTGAAACGCGACGTAGTGCTCAAACCGCCGGACGAGATCCAATGCTCGCTCCGGGCGGGCCAGAACAGTAACGTCATCCCAAGTACGCAAGGACGTGTTCGCCCAGATCGGGCCGGACATCAAGCTGCAGATCCCGCATGGCTGCACGCAAGCCTGAGCCAAACAAGGCTGGGTTTAAGGGATTACGCTGTTCGACTCCTTCACCCTGCTATAAATGCCGCGTGCGCGCGCGTTGTTGCTAACAGTAGGTGGCGGAGCGACCCAGTCACAAGCGCACGCCTCGGGAATATCCGTCAGCTCGCGCAACACCGTTTGTCGGCTCATGCCGTCTACGAGTATTTCAGGCAACTGTAGCCCCGGTTTCGCGGCAAACACGGGCAGCAGTACTCTCGAGCGGGAGGCCACGGGAGCGCCAGATGCCAGAACAGGGGCAAGCATGGCAAGCAGCGCGGTGGTCACCGACAGGGTCGACGCCACGGCGGCAGCGACAGGCAGCGTCGAGCGGCAACGCCAAGCCAAGCCGAATCAATGTGCGCTCGGGCAAGGCAGTCAGAATTTTGTTTGTGAGGTGCCTTGTTCTGCATCTGCTATCATCCGTTGCCTGCAACCCTGAGCGGCGGCCTGGAGGGCTGCTCGGCCCCGGCAAGCGCGACAACCCAGCTGAGAGGGACGTGCTCGCGCGCCAAACATCCGGACGTATGACGCGAACAAATGGTGCTCGAGGCACGACAACATGGAAGCAGTGCGTGCAGGCAGGGTGGTAACATAGATGTCGTCGACAAACGTCCGCCCGGTGAGGAGCTTTTGCCTGGAAGCGCCGGCGCAAGTCCAAGGGTGAACAAGGCAGGCATAAGTTGCGGCGTGGGCGGATCGCCTTGCTCGCCACCATCGGCCTGAGACACGAGGTGGGTGACACCTTCATTGTCATTCCACACAAAAGAACACGGCGCGCCACAGAACAGTCGGACGAAGGGATGCATGGCGAAGCTTCAGGCATGTGTCGGAGTTCGCAGAGCATGGTCCGGCGGCTCACGACGTCCAACGCACCAATGCCATCAACAGCATGCAAGGACCGTGCAGCTGGGGTCAGTATCGGTTTCGAATTGGAGGCTGTGGGCATCTGTGGGCGAGAGCCTCTGCCCCTGCACGCGTGGACAAGGCAAACTGGTGAGGTCGGTGGCTTTGCTGGGCAACTGTGCGGGAGGAAGTTCCCAACAAGTCCACGGATGCCTCCGACAGTGCAACGAGCCGTCCGAGGCCGAGTGCTGAAGCCATGGAGGTGGGGAGGCGGGCACGTGCTAGCAGCAACGCGACGCCGCAGAATGCCTCGGACCAGTCGGCGTCGTCGAGGAGCAACCACGCTACAGGTCAGGGTCAAGCGGTGCATACGGCTCGGCTGGCAGGGGCGACGATCGGGGTCACGCAGTTGCTGGATGGCGGCGGTCGCCCGGGGCAAGAAGCTCGCTCAGGAGAGCGCATGAGAGCGCGTCGAGCGGCGGAGAGCGGGCTAGTTTTGTGCGACCGACGTCTTGCAGCAGCCTTGCCCCACCTTCCGGTCCCCCCCGAAGCTCTTGCCAGGCCCACCCGGCCAAGCCATGCATTTGGCCTTGTCGCACACCCAGTCTCTTGCAACTGCTGCCACCAGCGTTGAGTCAGAGCGTGCTTGGAACTTGTGGTTGTTCCTCCCCCACCGTTTTGCGGCAAGTTTTGCGTGCACGCATCTCTGCCTTCCAAAGCCTCCGTGTCCGAGCCCGGCGTTGAGCAACGTGCTGACAGAGCGGTCCACGGGCTGCGTGGTGGCATCAAGCGCAAGCTGGGAGCCGTGCTAGAGGGGAAGGCCGTTTGCGGCCACCTCGATGCGCCGCTCGTGAGCAGGAACGTCGAGGTTCATGTCGGCGGGCTTCACGTGCCGTGCGACCCTGGCGCCAGCTTCACGGCAGTGCAACGGCGTGCTCAAGAGGCAGCGCGCGTGTGGCCAGGACGCCGGAGGTGGCACAGGCCGCGCGGTGGTCGCCGATGCGGTCCAGCGCCCCGTGGCAGCTGCACCTGCGCGGTGCGAGCGAGGGGCAGCACTCTGCCGTGGCTCGCCAAACGAGCGACAGGGCTGACGCTTCCGCGGCTGCATCGGGCCTCCTCGTCTTTCTCTTCTCCTCCGCTTCCCTACCCTTCCCCCCTCCCTACTCTTCCCACTCCTCCTCTTCCCTCGCTGTTCTGCGCTGGTGATGACCCCATGCTCAGAGCTCTTGCGTGGCCTTTGTAGTCGGCTTTCCCAAAAGCTGATGGGGGACTTTCTCCAAAACTGGTTGGCTGCTCGTGTCATCACAACTTCGGACACAAGGTAGCTTCGGGGTCCAAGCCGAATTTACAGTGATCAATTCAACTTCCACTTGGGACTTTCGCTGCTTGGCACATTTCCCTCCCGGTCCGGGCTCCGAGACTTCGCCTCCTACGCTAACGCTGCTCAACCACATGCTGTTTGATCGTGGATGCGTCTTCACCGGTTGTTCGCTGCTTCGGTCTGTGCAACCACAAAGCACTGAAAGCACCCTCTAGCTCCCAGAATGCAGGTTGAGGCCACACTTCTGAAGCGTTCTCTGCCTTCGTTCCTGTCAGCTGCGAGCTTGGCCTTTTGACATGGCTCGATTGGCTCTGACTGGAGCGCTCCGGCCCCATGCGTTCGCTTGTAACATGCTGATCAGGGAGGCCGGTAATTCTCAAGCAGCCATTGGGCCTCAGATTCCTTCCTGGGGCAGTTGCAGTGCACTCCCACCTTGGGGTCCGAAGGCAAAGGCAAAAGTGACTGTCGTTTCGGTGAACAGGCGCTGCGACATGGGCAAATGCGGACGTTCGTGCGTCAGATGCGATTGGTGCGTTCCCACACTGCCCCGACAGCAAGGAGCCATGCAACATCGCCGCGGAAGGCCGAACAAACGGGTCAGTAGCTGTTGTGCCAGGAAGCGATGAGCGCAGGCACCGGCAATGATAATCGAAATGCTCGCAGGTTGTGACAAGTATGCCGCATGGCGGTTCAAGCGAAGCGTCCCGGCATCGCGCGTCACGTCCACTTCTCGTAGGTACCAGTATCCACGAGATGGCAATGCAAAGGCGACAGAGAAATACCGAGGTGGCTACCAAGTATCTGTCCGGTTATCTGCAATTGCAACATGTCGAGCTGCCTGTTCACACTTCAGAGCAGTCCGGCGAGAATACATTTGCCGCTAATCGGGTTTGGGCAAGAGATTGCAACAGGCTTAATGGCACATCGACTGACCACATCGACCTACTCCATCCCTGGACGTAGAGCTGATGCACATGATGCCTCTTCTCGGTGACCTCTGTCTTTGGTCCTTCCAGCAAACGATGCCGACTGTTGGTAGTCTTTAGGGGAGTGGCCGCGTCTTCTTCCACACAATGCAAATTGCAGCCTATTACATGCCCTCAGAAAGCTCTGGTCACAACCCTATGGCCTGATAAGAGTCTCAAACAGCTGGCATGCTGCTGGCCAGCGACCTGCCTTGCCGCATGCCTGAACAGGTGCAAGATGCTGCTGTCGCAGAGGGGAGGGTGACACCAAACTTCCCATGGCCGAGGTGCTGAGAGAACAGATGCAGCTGCCCCATCATCAGGCGCAAGGAGCTGCAAGTGGAAATCCTGCACGGTCGTCGCGTGACCGCCGTGGTGTTTTGGATGTCTAGTCTCTTGACCCTCATTGCCATCCTCCAACAGAGCCGCGGCAATGTGCCACTGGCTGCCCCTCTCGCAAGCAGCCAAAGCAGCGCCTCAGAACTTTATGCAGCTGCCACGGGCCACAGGACATCTGCAGGTCTCTGAATCTCGGGAAGCCACCCAAAGCTGGCATATCCACGACATCGCGTGCTTGAGAAAGCAGAACGACCGCCGACCGCCACAATGCTCGCCTGTCGAGACACTGCCGCCTCGTGGAGGCCATGGCGAGCCCTCTTAGGGTTTAGGGGTTTAGGTGTTTTGGGGTTTAGGGGTTTTGGGGTTTTGGGGTTTTGGGTTTAGGGTGGATGCCGGCCTCGCGAACGATGCAAGAAGCATGGTGAGCTCACGCGCGCTTGGCAACTTGTTGCCGATAGTGGCGTTGACCAGCTCAGGCATGAGTCCTTGCAACAAACGCTCAGATCAGTTATTTGAAAGCACCTTCAACAATACCACGAAGGAGCACCACACCACCTTGGTAAAGCAGTCTGAGGCCAGTACCAACCGGTGTTTCACGGGAACGAAGCAAGTGCAAGGCGGACATCTTGTCAACTCTCGGCCTGAATCGGCAACGCCATGCTGGAGAATGCCGGCACACTGACTCGGGTTTAGCAACTATGAGGTATATCACGGTATATCGATGACTCCATAGGTAACAAGTGCATACCTGTGGGGTGTATAGGTGCTTAGCTGCACAGAGACACACACAGAGAAAGATACTATCAACTACTTTGCCTCTCAGAAATATACTCGATAGAAGTGGATTGCCAGTCTCCCCAAAGTAAAGTCCACCAAGATCAAAAAGGAGCCCTATACAATATTCACACACAAATCCCAAAAATGAACCCTGCTGCATTTGCAGGTGGCAGCGTGCATTCAGAGACAGAGGCAGAGATTCGCCTCGGCCCCGGCCGAAGCGGTCAGAGCCCTGTTTCCCCACCTCTCAATCCCCTCCTCCCACTGACCCACCCCCGCTTACCAGGGCCACTCCCCCCTTAAACTTGCTTTCGGGTTGGCAACCCCTACGTACAGAGATTCTGCTGGTGGAGAGCGGGCTTGCCAAAAGCAACCCCCCCATCTGCTTCAAGTACAACCGGGCCGAGGCGGACGACGCAAAGCACTCAAAGACCTAACAAATGAAGACTCAGACAGAAGGACATCAAGAGAGACGCCAAGTCGGGGAAGTCAGTGCGAGCACGATGAAGCATGGAGCGATGGACGGAAAGCTCAGAAACAGATTGTCTGTAAGCTGCTAACTTATCGCGCAAATTGGCGGCTGGGCTGAAAACATATGGCCTCCAGGGCTCATTGTCGCGATGCGGGGGCTGGCTGTGTTGAGTTGGCGGTGGTTGGACCAAACTGCCCAAGTTTCCCATGGCTCACACCGCGTGCTACCCATCACAGATGTCTCAGCGGCCCTGAGACCACGAAGTGCTGAAGGCAGGAGCCGAAACTGCGAAGCACGTGGCACGTGTAGGAGCAAATCCCGCCTGCAGAAGCGGTATCTGGGCAAGAACTCTCGTACGATCTCTTTTCGTAGGTCGCGGTGCAGAGTCTGAGTAAAGCCCCGCAGCACTTCAGGGCACTGCAAAGAGTCACGAGGAAGGCACCCGCGCGCGGATGTATTCATCCAAGCCAGGATTCGCTGCCAGGTAGTCAGTCAAGGTTGTCCTCTCGCGACGCGGAGCTTCGACTCTTCGTCTCTCTTGCAGGCTCTCTTATCTCGCATCCTGCGGTCCGACAAGCAAGTCGAGTCCAAGAAGTGCTGCAAAAGCCTTGCAGCTTGCAGCTGTCACGCCTGATCCTCTGTGCAACGCAGGACAGCTTCTGTTGAGGCTTGCGCCCTGCTGCCTCGTGTGCCTGCGCCTCGTGCAAGAACAGACAAGTTCCCTTGCTAAAATGGCAATGGCCGTCTCATGCAGCTGAAGAGCACAATCCCGTAAGTAGCCCGGAGCCTCAGCAGAGCACAAAAAAGAACTGAAAGAAGTCAAAAGCGCTAGATTTACGATGGAGTTTCAGCTCTTGAAATGAGGCAGCAAAGGCAGCCCGGGCACGGGGTAGAGCGGCAATCCTGGCACGAGTCCTCAAGCCAGCTGCACGACATCGTGTACAGATTCAGAGGCTCCCTCGCATCTACGAGTTGAGGAGAAGGCCTCGGGGCAGCTCCTCCAACGAGATCGGCGGAGCTAGGCGCGCTTCAACTGACCTAGGCTCTGCAAAACCAACCCGCCGCCAGTCCCCATGCCTAAGCGTGCGCGCACTGCGTGTCTGCAGATGCGTGCAAGTCGCTGTGCAGTTCCCGCGCAGTCACATGGGCGGAGCGGCATGTCTGCCTGGGCAAGCTCTGTTGCAAATCGCATGTGGAGTGTGTGTGTGTGTGTGTGTGTGTGTGTGTGTGTGTGTGTGTGAAAGTAGTATACACACGGCAAACAACAAGCAGCGTCGCAGCTGTCCTGCGGTGCTGGCCACATTGGCCTGAGCGCTCGGCTCATCCACTCACGCACATAGCCTCAGCTCACGACTGACAGTCGATCGACTACAGATGATGCGCTGTGATGCAACTTCCTGTGTCACCGAATTCCTAAAGTCATGCGGCATAATCCTGTACGAATTCCCGCTTCTAAGCTGCTTGGTCACGACATGCCGACTTCCGAGTAGCCGCATTGCAACATGCCGACCTGCGACACACCGTCTGACCCACATGTTTCTCAAGCTGCGGGCTCTGATCTTCGCAACGTCGAGCCATCTCACCATCGGGGGCCCACAGCCTGCAGATTTGCAGCACATGGAGCTGCAACAAATCCTGCCCACATCTGCCCACATCGTTCGACCTCTCGGCTTCGGCATCGTCGTCACAAGCGGCACCTCACGACAGCTTGCTGCTCAGATTGAGGACTACTACAGACACGGGCTTGAAGGGGCTTGCTGGTAGCTGCCGGAGCCTACTGCCCTCCGGTGTTTTAGGTTTCGCTTAACCGGCGAACTCTCACGGCGGCCGCTTCACCTGAATTTCGGGTTGCGTAAAGATGAAGTCTCTGACGACCCTCAAGGCACAGGCCCCTGGCCGATGAACTCAGCATGATGCATCGATGGGCAAAGGGTCTTGAAGACCAAGGCGTCGACACATCAATGCCTGTCCCTCTTCGATGACGGAGCCATCTTGGCCTCGAGCAGGGTCCGTCGTGTCTGTGAGGCCCCCCAAAGCGCACAACTGAGCGGCCAGCCCTTCACAGAAAAAGGCACCGACACGATTCTGTAGCCTGGCCATCCGCGTCGCGTGTCCCGCTCTGTGGGGTCACGGCCGTTACCGGAAAAACACGCCCGGCGGACCGGCTTCTCTCTCGTAGAAGCCTGGCCGCAAAGACACGCCTCTTCCGCAAGACCTCTCGGAGTGACGAGTGCAGCTGAGAGGGACCTGGCAGCTCCGACGGCACCACATCCAGGAGCGCCACATGGCCTATGGTGGCTCCGCTTCATTTGGCAGACTGTGCATCCTTGCAGCTGTGCGACTGACGTAGTCAGCGGCTGGCACCTCGCATCATCTCGCAACATCTCGCAGTCCACGTCAGAGACCCCAAAACAGCTCCGCATACCTCCGCTGTTGCACAATGCACTTTTGCAGTTGAGGCTCCATGGCGAGCGCTGCCACTTCGTTGCTCTCCAACGACACACCCCCGGACCTGAGACGTAGCCGCTAGTAGCCGCTAGCGCCCAAACGGCCTGGTGAAGGGAAAGCTTCGCCTCTTCCACGTCGCTTAGCCCAAGGCGCCACATTCACCCAATTCGACTGGCAAAAAGAGCGCCGCCATTCTCGCACCTCAAGCGAAGGCTCGCAAGAACCAACGGTGCACTGCGAAGCTCGACGACAGGGTCTACCTCGCCAACGCGAAAGTTGGAGAAGTCGAAGGATTCTCGTGCGGAAGCCTGCGGGTTGACACAATGCGAAGCCCGGCAGCACGCCCTCGGGCTTGCCTCCGAAACCAGAGATCCGACACCCGCAACGGTCACCACCTGTCGGCCGTCTCTGCAGAGACACTTGTGTTCGATTGGACAGGTGCCTCAGCCTCTGCAGGGCCTGCAGGCCGCATGCTGGAAGGCTCATTCCATTGGCTCACGACAGCCGAAAGCTTGAAGCACCTGTTCCACCTGTTCCTGGTGTCGACATTTTGGCTACACTAGGCTGTTGAAGCATCTCGAAACAGTCCCGACGCGGCAAACAGGCCGTTGCTTACACATCCATCCGTCTTCTGCTTGCTTCGAGCCGTGAGGCGGTTGCACAGAGAGAAAGGGAGAGACCTGGAAACAATCGCCTCACTTAGCAATCCTGTCACTTTTGGCGCATTAACCCCAATGCAACCGGTCCTCTGTGCCGAAACAAAGGATCAGCACAAGTATGCGGAACGTTGCGAAAAAAACTCGGCTTAGGTGCTCACGAATGGTTTCATCACGCTGAGGAAGCTCTCACGAAACGGGGCCCATAGCAGCCATAGCATCATGAGCATAGTTCATGTCATTTGCTGGCCGACTTAAGTGGTTTAGCTTTCAGCTTCCTTTCAGCGAAACAAACCACCGGCCACCAGCTGTGCGGTTCTACGGGTCAGCAGCCGGGAGTGTGAAGAGCCTGCGGCGCTTTTCCGTCGCTGACACTCGTATATTGAACGGAAAGCCCGTGATCTTGCGGGTGCTCAGGACCCTGCATCGCTGCGTCGGCACTTCTCCGGCTGTTCTGTTTTTGCTGTATCCGGATTGCTGTCCGCCTTGCCTGAGCAGGGTTTCTGGCATTGGCTGGCAAGCGCGCCCAAACACCACGTGTTGGGCTTAGCACGCTTTAAGCTGCCATCGCATTCCGGCGAATGCTGCCTCGAACCCGCGAAAGCATCTCCTACACAAACAGCCTTTTGCTAACAAGACTCTGAGACAACGGCAGCATGTCCAGGCCAGAACCATGCCCATTCAAAATTCTGGTGGTGCCTCGGGCAGGCTGCACAGATACGTGAGTATGTGTGTGGGTGTGTGTGTGCGTGTGTGTGTCATTGTGCGTCCTCAGCATCATACTGACGGTTTTCTTCTCCAGAGTTCTGTAGAGAACTTCGTCCAGTGTATCCTTCGCAATGAGGTAGTGGACCTTGCTTGCACTGACTATGAACGATTCGCGGATTCGCGCCAAGGCTCGAGAAGCTGCGATGTAAAGCTGCGGGCAGAGACGCAGTCCCGCTGGCCGATCCGATGCGCTCGATCTTCCGCTTGCTGCATCTGCCCAGGTACCTGGCCGACTTGGAATTGGCGCGGGGGTTGTTGCCGAGCTTCGCAGTGGCGCACCCAGTAGAGCTCGGCGAAGACGACGGTTTGTGCGGCCTCTGGGTCGAGTTCGGAATGTTGCAGAGGCATCTCACTCGGGGTTGAAGCGAAAATCACGTTGAGGTCGATTCCGTAAGTGTCAGCCCAGTTCCCGCCGCAGTGATGCTCAGCACTGCAACACGGACAGACTCATCCTCGCCGAGACTCGTTGTGATAAGAGGAAAGCAGAAGGGGTGGACCAGAGCACAACACAAAAAGCTCTGTAAAGCAGGTTCTATCCGCGCTCACGGTGCCTCCTGGAATCGGCTGACGAGCTTTGGCCGTTCCGCCGCACCCCTGCCATCTGCGGCGCAGCCGTGCCCCCCGGCAACAAGAAAGCTTCAACGGGAAGGGGTGGGCTGTCGGAGATTCTCTCACCGCACTGCTGCAACTTCAGCCAAAGCGACGTGTGGCCATCAATTCCTGGTAGGGGCTGGGACGGCAGACGTGCACATGTAAGTCACTCCAAACATCGCACGTGAACGATATGCAAAGCCCAGGCACTGATGTACCCGAATTTTGCCCGCTGCAGCTTTTCTTCAAGCGCCTTATCGCAGCCAGGCACAAGAAGCCAACCAGGAGCCCTGGCCTCTTGCTTAGCTTGTGCTCGTGATTCGCTAGATGCTGCCATGACTATCGAAAGACTACTGAAGCTGCGCTTGGTGATCATAAACTGTGCTGTGCAGAGTGTGTCCAACAGTGCTTCTGGCGAGGGAGACTCGGACCTTTCTTGCTTCAAGATGATACCATCCGAACTACTGGTGTGATGCGTGATAAGTAGCAGAACAAGCAACATGGCCCAATGGACAGGAAGAAGCGAATCACGAACATCGAACGGCGCAAAAGCTCGGAGCCTGAATTTTCCGACAGAGGTAAAGGGCCCTATCTGTCTGCTGACGCCAGCTTGGCAAAAAACCGCCCAGCATGTCGTACTGGGCCACTTGCATCCAGTACCAGACGATGGTGACCTGGAGCACACCAGAAGCGGTAACTTTAATCCAACTTTCTGCTCCTTCTGCAGTGCATGGTAAGATAAAGACCGAAGATCAGGAATTTCGTCTCCAGGCTCAGCAAGTGTTCAACCTTAGGTTCCGAAAGGGCCTTGTGGCAGAATTACTGCAACGAGCCACAACACCGGACGTGTGACACCTGAGGTTTTGGCGTAGTCGAGGACCGCCGCCAATTTGGCCTGGCCGTTCTTCTGTTCACCCACAGCAGGACCAGGACTACTTCTTGGCGGCACAGCAGAGCCAGGAGAAGGCAAGTGCCTCGGCGGTGTCTCGGAAGAGCTGCGCAGTGTCTCCCAAAGCCTGGAGTCACCGAGTCATTGGACGACTCAGAAGTTTTTCAAGGGGGCTGTTTTTGACTTTGGAGCTCGGGCGTCGCCTTCCCCGAGCTGAAGTCGACGCTTCCCATTTGTCGAGTTCGCCTGCGCTCGGCTTCAGCTACGATTAGTCTGACATAGTCCTCGTATATCCATTTCATCAGCACTGTAGTGTAAACACTGCAGCTGCTGCTGTTCTTCGGGTTCTTGTGCTTTGACTCCTCGTGTGGCTCCGACGTCCCTGTCGGAAGTATTGGTGCTGCTTGTCTGTTGATATGGCAAGCACAGAAACAAGCTTACAGTTTGTAACGGGCCCTGCATTGCTTCGTTAATCTGTTGTTCTGTTGCTGTCAGTGTTTTGATGCTTCTGGATGCTGGCGTGATGGTGATGATGATGGTGATGACGATGTGCTGCAGCCTTCATGAAATTACAATTTCATGCCCATCAGACGTAATGAAGTCAGAAAATCGAGAAAAGGCCTTTCCACATCGCGAAGCTTCTCCTGTGTGGAAGGTTTAGAGCAATGAGTGCAAGACCGTTGCTGTGCCTTCTGCCTGGCCTGGCTCATCTTCTCAGGGTCCAAGGGCACTCGCATGCGCCGTTTCTCTGGAAGCCTCAGCTTGGCATCGAGCACTAAAGCAAAAACGGGCTTCGAGGCCGGGCACGTGTACCTTCACGAAACACCTTGTTGTCGTGAACAACCCGGGCCCAAGCTGCTGCAGAACCTGATTCTTCAGGCGCCTGGACAGCCGCGCAGATGCAGGGTCTACTGTGTGCACCAACACTGGTGACTCATGGCAACTCTGTCGTCAGCTGGCAACACGCCGAACGCACGCCGAACACTGTTCGAACACCGTTGAAGTTTCTGATGCTGGGACTGCCTCTTCATCACAGTGTTCAGCAGACCTTTGATGCAACTCACAGGCAGCTTTTGAAACTTGCAACAGAAGCTACAGCTACCAACCCGTAATGTCCGCGGATTGCTGCAAGGCTCTCACAATGCAACTCCGCTGGACGCTGCACTCCGATCCACTTGACCTGTCTGCGCCCGCCGAAGTTCTGCGTCCTTAGAACAAGAAACCATCTGTGCGAGTCTGTATGCAGACGAGTTGGTGCACAAGTCTTCGAAACGGAGATGACAACACGTGCCCTGGCGGAGACTCTTCCGGTCCGGATCCACTCATGGAAACGAACCACATCTCCCGACGCAAGCGACAGCAACAGCTCAGATCCCTGCTGCTTGTAGCAGAAGCGCTCTGCAAACTGCGCAAAACTGGGCATCTCTGCAGGGAGAAGCGCCTTCAGACCACGACGCCGCAGCGGCAGCGGCTGCTCATGTCCCTCTCGATGCAGGTCTGCCTCGAGCTGCGTGTAGAGCTCGGCCGCTCGATTCACAGCAGGTGTGCCGCCTCATGCGTCATGGTCACTGCAGTGCACCGAGATGGCAGTCACTTGTCACGGTTGTGCCCGCATGTGTCGTCGAGTGCCGTCTTCAAAAAAACACAAACTTGTAGCACACCGTGATGGCTCTTGACAGCCAGTTAAGCAGCAGACTTAACAGCAGAACACGCCGTGCTGCCTTGCAAATCCCGACCTGAGCTCGGAGCCCTAAAGGCATCTCTCTCAAGCGCCTGCAGTACTCTCCGAAAACTCAGGCTCGAACCACAACTTTTGTTCTTTGGCTGCCTCCTTCCTGAGCAGTCCGCTATTACGCTTTGCCATGTCGTGATGCATCCATCCGGCAGATACCTTGATGTTTTGAGACTCGTCCACGATGACTGCAAGATAGTCACGGCCTCGAGGAAGGCACTCCAGCTTGAATCAGACACCGATTGGCCGGCGAACTTCGCAGGAGCAAAGATCTACCGGAATCCATGGACAGCTAAAAACAACACACCGATTGGCAGGTCTTAGACTGAGCGTGTCTCCATCGGCACGGCGTCGCAAGGACTCGCTCCGCCGCAGCAGATCGTAAGTTGTGACCTGGGATGTTTGGGAACAGACTTACTGATAAGCAGTGGCATTCCCATGCAAACCAAAAGTCTCTCCGAAACAGTGTCGAGAGAAGATTGGGGCTAATTACATCAAATCGGTGCGTAATACTGCGACACAGCGACACAATACACCAGTACTCAAATACAGCATAATCAGATCAGCTCCCACCCCAAGAGCAAACACACGAAATACAACTGTTCGAACACTGTCCAACACTATCTGGGCCTACATACAGAGGGGCACATGCATGAATGAGTCTTGTATCCGCCGAGGCCACAAGCCTCAGGCGTCTTGGGGGTTAACTCTTCAGTGACACCTGTTTTTGGCCCGCAATTTCGACCTCCGACCCGACATCCCACGCATTATTCCTTCCAACCCCCCTTCTGATCCAGTTTTCTGTCCAATTTGCCCTCTCCTCTTTGCATTACCGGGTTGTCAGTGCTGCTCTGCGGCACGGCTACACACACAAGCTATATATATATATATATATATAGCTATCTATCTATTATCTATCTATCTACAGTATCTATCTATCTATATGTTCTACACACACACATACACACATGCACATACACTTATGCATGTTTCATGTAACCATGTTTGTACTGGCCCCGCTTGCTTACGGTGAGCAACTGGACATTCTGAGATACAGCGCTAGTCACGATGTACAGCCTTACTTTATCATTACACCAGCACCAAGTGTGCGGCGTTCACAACGCTTCTTTCATGCCTGTTCAAATTAGTACTAGCGCCGAAGCTATCGCATTGCTGACGCGCGCCGTGGAGCATCTAGCGCGCCGGCATTTTCGATATTCGCTGGCGCTTTCACTGACGCGCCACTGCGGCGCACCGAACCCCAGCTGACGCGGACCAACCAATCTTAACGTTTGTAAAATAAACTCCCACAGGAGGGGTTTAGAACGCCGCACAAGTGGTCTGACATGTAGTCATGTAGTTTCGAGCCTTGCGCCGCGCTTGTCATGTGTAGCGGAGCATCTCTCTTCCCGTTGGCCCGAGCTCCACGCAACTACACGAGCACACTTATTGACTTTGTCCTTGCCGGTCCTGCCGCAGAAGCTGCTGCGGTCAGAGATCAACTATCACACATCAGCGGCTCAAGGTGCAGGAGTGCCCCCGGCTCTGTGCACGGGCTCCTGATCACCTGCACTTGGCCGCCGTCTGCACCCACAAGATGGGGCAGCCACTGCGCGGCCTCGGCACAAAGGTGCCAAGCTCTCCCCCCCATCGAGGGTTTGCCACTGTGGGTCCAGGCCTGCTCACGCCAAACGAAGCGCAAGGAGGACGGAGCCACCACCAGTAATGGCCACTCGGCCTGCGGGGATCAGAGACTCTACTCCCATCCCTACCATCTTCGCTTCTGCCTACTCTACTACCACAACGGCCACCACTGGCACCTGCACCCTCTTAGCAACAACAAACCGACACCCCCCCGATCGGTAGGACCGTAAGGATGAGCTCAATGATCACGGTTTAGAAAGCCATGACGACGATGGAGACGACAAGTGTTACGGAGGCATTGGCGAGGATTGATCATGACATGGACAGAGCGCGGCCGCGGCCTGGCCTCGTACTGGGCCGCCAGGAGCAAAGCCTTCGGCAGCAGGGGCCCTGACCCTTTCACCAATGTAAGAAAGGTTACAAAGTCAAGAAGTCCTGTGCTTCGAAGGGGCCTGCAACGTCTTCCCGAGGCCCATCTCATCCCCCAGCAAGACGCGGCCGCCACGTTGCAGGCCGAACTCCACCGACTCCTCGGAACCGAGTCTGGGCCCTTGGAATTGAGACTTTGAGAGGTCTTTGTCGTGGGGGCCACGCGCGTTGGTACGGGAGCACGGCGGAGCCCTGAGTCGGCGAGGCATGGCGCCGAAGCGAAGCTTCGCACAGCTTCGCACAGCTTCGCACAGCTTCGCACAGCTTCGGCCTGCGGCAGAGACTCCAGGAACCCCGCCACCTGCGAAGCTGCAGAGATCTGTGAGATGTGTGCAGGGGTGTTGGGATCAGCATGGCTCATCCCCGCGTGCCTTGGCACGTGCTTCGCAGGCTGAGAGCCCACCACACACAGGCGCGCCAGGCTTCTCGAAGCCCACCACCTCACTGGCACGTGTCCAATGCACCACAAAAGGAACTTGCGGGATTTGCAAACGGTGCGAAGAAGTTCCCAGGACCAGACAGCACATGCCCAGGATGGAAGGGCCGAGAGCTGCAGTCCCTTCGAAGAAAGCGCCTTTCTCAGGCATGAGCCAAACCATGACGCCATGAACCCCAGCAGATGCCAGAAGAGCAAGCCAAGCTTTGATCTCTGCACTCCCGACACATGCAAGCGCTCTCAAGTGGCTGAAACTGCCGTTGGAGAGCTCATCCTCAGTGGCATGGCATGAGCCGACAACCGCATCTGATTCATGTCGGCTTTTCCACCAAGTTGACACTGAAAGTAAGGTCGGCGCCAATTGACACAGTGCTTGACCGGCGTGCCCACAGCTGCAGGCAAGAAGATGAACAGCAACATGTTGAACATGAGTTGTTCGGAGTGCCTGCCTGCTTCAGGAACAGTGGTTGGGACAGCTACGAGTTAGGAGTTTGCATGTCAACGAGTGTTAACGAGTGCTGTAGGCACTTGCGCAGATGTCCCGGACTGCCTTAACATCAACGAGATCAGCTCCAGGGCAAGCTCCCAGCGACCGGAGGCGCAAAGAGCAGAAGACACCCCATTGAAGGGATAGGCCTCATGCAGCTCTATATCAAGGCAGGCCTGTACAGGCGCGACATCACCTCCAGTTGCAATCAAAGCAACATTCAGCTCCAAGCGTGAACTGACCATACGTTGCAGCAGGTCCTCAGCAGAAAGCATCGCTCGCAGAAGCGAGCTACACAGGCTTGTATGGCAACTTCACGCTGAGCTCAGATCCAAGGCCAGCTGCCAGTGTCCTCCGCGTTCGCAGGCATCAATGGCCGCCACGAAAGTGTGCTGATCGGGCTGATGAGCGCATGCGCCCCTCGTCACAGTCAGGGTTCCAAGCCGCATCGGACAGTGAAAATTAAAAAAATCTGCCAAGTCGTCTGCAATCTTTTCCGTCCCAGGGTCAGAGCCGAAAGGACCTGCAGAGCCCAGCACCAGCGAGGGGCGCAGGCGCTCAGCGCTGCGTTGCAGAAGACCAGGCTGGGAACCAGGGAGCGGCCGGGGAGCTCCTGCCGAAGACTTCGGGCCTACTTGGAGGTTCATGGGTAGTTATAAGTGGGGTTATAAGTAGGGTAATTATACTTATAGCGCATATTAGGGGACTTATAACCCTACTTATAACTACCCATGAACCTCCAAGTAGGGCCCTCTGCGTCTTTAAAGGGCCTCTCGTTAGGGGCCCTCTGCGTCGCCGTCGTCTGCCGGGTCGCGCGCGCGCGCGCGTCCTGGAGCAGCTGGAGAGCCGAGGTCCACAAATATTGGCTCTGACCTCAAAAACTCGCAAGGCTTAATCGCAAGGCTTAGTCAGTCGGCTTAGTCAAGTGGAGAAAGAAGGGGGACTCCTTGTTTTTTTGCATCGAGGCACAAGCACCGATCACCACGACGTCTGGAACCAGCTGCTGTGCCTTCACTGCCAGAAGGCAAACACGGCAGCTCACGCACCTTGCCCGTACTGCTCGTCACTCGTCTCACGTCAGCTGTCCTCTAGAATGTCGAGAAGCTGGAGAGTTGTCAACCACTGCATGCCCTTCTCACAGGCACTGACCGCCGACGAGAAGAACGGAACCTTCGCGTCCCGTCAACCGAGAAGGAGGGCATGACATGCAGAAAAACGGTCGAGCAGCGTCTCTTCGCAAGCTCCTCTTCGAGACGGCTTGCAAAAGCATGAGAGCCTGAGACCACCTCAGCAGCTGCGGAACCGACAGTTCCGACATCCTCAAAAAAACATGACTGCCGGGCACCAACCGGGCCCCAGGCTGGCTCCCACGCTCACAGCCGGAGATGGCCGCCGAGTAACTGAGGAGGTCTCTTTGCGTCTCTGCGGCCAAGGGCCCTTCCGTGGCTGCCTAAAGCTTGGTCGCAGCTCCCTCTCCACTTTACTTCAAGGGCACTCTGATGAATTAAGCGCCGCTGTTTTGATGCCGGGCGGCCAAGGAGAGCGCTTGCGACCAACAGTTTCGACATGAGGAGATTCCGGCGTTCAAGGTGATGGTGTTGGGGCGGATGATGCATCTGGGCTTCACTGCTTTCTTGACTCCACCCTCTTCTGGAGGGCACCCGCTGAGGCTGCTGCTCGCGCATGACGTTGAAGATGTTGAAGACTGCAGGCCAATTGTTGCTACCTGTGAGACTGAGTCAAGAAAAGCCACAGCCAGGTAGGAGCAAACGGCACCTTTCTCGCAGGCGCTGATCGTGGACGACCAGGTCACCACAGAGGGCAGCAAAGTCATGCAGCGTACCGTTCTTGCCAAGTGGAACCTGCGATGCTTCGACCACGGGTAGCCCTCGCGTGCTAGGTAGGCTATGGCAATTGGCGAGGCTCTGGCGCTTCTCGCCAGGCACCCCGCAGTGCGCAGGCGCTCAGACCGGCATTCACAGCCACGACCTGACACATCCATTGATATCGGATCCTATGATTGACTGCTGTAAAATTTTGTGGACAGGGCAGCTCGAACAGCTTCGTGACTTCGCGGTACGAGCCTAGTACTGCATTCAGGCCCTCTGAGTCCAAGATCCCCGCATCTGTTTCGACCCCAGGTGTCGCCCGCAACTCACGCAGAAGATCAAGAGCCATCGTCAGCTTGCCTGAGCCAATAGCACGCAGAGCACGTAAACCCTGGCCCTGGCCCTTTGCATCCCCTCCACAGCCTGCTTTTGCACAGCAGCTGATGCATTGCGTGTAGGCAATAGCACTCGGCGAGAGGTTGAAGTCCCACATCCTCGGTCACTTCGAGGGCTGAGCTTTCGCAATGGTCGGCTCCGACCTCAGGCTCACTTTGCTGTCCAGCGTCTCTGCCAGCCTCTGAAGTGCACCGGCCCAATCCTTGCGCTGCACCTGTCAGCAAGCATCACGACAGCCCCAGTTCGAACACCTCTTGTCTACCGCTGTGCAACAAGGAAAACTGTTGCAAGGCTTTTCCATCCTGGCTTTGGACCGGGGCACACGCTGTACCCGCTGACCATGGCGACAAGGAGTGGGGAAAGCCGAGCTTCCACTCAAACTGCTCGACATGCTCCCATAGCGAAGTCGAGGGTTTGAAAGAGTGGCTCGAGCCTCTTGCTGCACCACTCGCCATCTTCAGAGAGTCACTCAAGCCCAAAGTTGCAAACATCTCTCAGCAGCCGCCAGGCCTCGAATCGCTCCAGGGTGCTCTTGTAGTGGGCACCACTGAAGGAGACCTCCTTTCGTTTTCGGTCGCTCTGCGTGAACGAAAGAATCGAGTCTGTCCAGCGCAAACCTCCTCGCCCTTTCTTTCTCAAGGGTTGAGGGAGAGGGGATTGCGCCTCCTCGCCCTTCTCGCCCTCTCTTTTCTGGGCACTGGGCCAAGACTTGACCTGCCACTAGTACATTAACTCTGCACCAGGGCGAAGTGACGTTTTGAAGCTTCCAACTCTGAGATATTGGCCTCGGCTAGGAGGGCGGGCGGCCAGCGTGGACACTTGGCCACAAAGAGCAACGATGACCAGAGAGGACAGAGCTCCAGCCTAGGGTCACAGAAAAGAAAGAGCCCTTGCCAAAAAAAGCTGGTGCTCGCGTTGCCTCCCGATACACGCTCCGCTCAGTGCTACCAAGGGGCTGAACATGGACCCCAGTGTAAATCTGCCTGCAAGCTCACGGGTGTGCGCTTGCTTTTGATGCTCCGCTCCTAGCGCCCTGCCTTGCAGGATTGGAAGCTTTCGGTTGGGGCCCTGGGGTGCAAAGAGCCGAGCGTCCTTTCGGCAATGAGACGTCTGGCCTGCCGGCTGGGCTGTGCTTGGCTGGGCCCTGGTCGAATGCTCTACAGCACTCCTGAAGCCGAGCAAGGTGATAAGATCAAAAACTAACACAAAGACTGATTGCCGATGTTATCCCAATCCTGTCAGCGCCAGCACAGGTCGATGGGCAACCTGCGGATGCAGCGAAGTCCGGGAGTCCGACAGCTTGTTTTGTGCCGGCCTGCAGTTGGCACCGTTCCCGGGCCAGCATGACCAGGAGCAGCGCCCCTCGGTCTCTGGGTATCAATATTTGGTTTTCGCTTTTGAGGGATCATGGCACTCGGTGATTTCGGCCCTTCAGGGCTATCGTTGCGACATGGATCTGACGGTCCTTTCCCCAGTGCCGCGTTATCAACCATTGCATTACTTCGTGAAGGCCGACACTCGGCGGTGTTCATATTACCACCATGCAGCCGCTCACTGTGCAGGCTCTTCTTCAGAGTCCTGACCGCGAACTAGGGATCCATGCACTGCTTATGCAATGGCCTTTCAGCCCAAACGTGCGTGCCGCAGGTAAGAGATGTCCAGCCCTATGGAGCTTTGCACGAACTCATTCTGTTGCTGACCGAAGACAGACAGCTCTGCAGCCTGGGGCTTTTGTGATTGGTCACTCGCGGGCCAAGTTGGGCCCGTTGCAGACAGGCATTTATGACAGTTGTGGAGTCGTTGATGATGCTCACGCCATTGTCTCACTTACTCGTTGCTGCACGAGCCCCCGATGGGCATGTGAACGCCACGATGCACTTCTTGATTGCTTGACTCAGCACGTGTTAGTTCTTGCTATCTGCTAATCCCTGTGGTCCTGTGGCCCTGCCCTTCCCAGCACATTGCATGGCTTGCCTGACTGGACATCGCAACACATCACTCATTGCATTCTGTGCCAGGGTTCAGAAGGTGTTTACTGACACGTCATGTGTTCATTCTAGGATTCCTGGGCTAGTTTTGGCTCGTTAGGGGGTGGTTCGTTCGGGGTCGGGGTTGCCCGGAATTTGGCAGGCGATACCAGAGCTGCATTCCATGCTTCCGGCTGTGCTTGCGCGAGAGCAGGCCCGTACGGTTTTCTGGTCGCCTGCACTGGATGTGGTTGAAACTATGCAGCATTTGATGTCGATGACTTGGAGAACAGGGACCTGTGGCACCCCATGTTGAAGGACTTGGTGAGCGCGGGGTCCAGGCTCTTGTTGCGCATTCTCATCTAGATGCATGTGCATGTGAGATTCCTATGGAAGAATGGCTGGCTCATTGGAATGATCATGCCGACATCGTAGCTGGTCTGGGCAACCTGAATCGTTCGCAGGCATCTTCGGCCATTCACCGACAGGCCATTACGTACCATAAAGACATGCAAGCAGTCCTTCGAGCTTGCACAAGGGTTTGTACAGTGCTCTGGCTGCTTGCACAGCCAGCGTGGATCAGCGTGCAACGGGAAGTGCACGCGGGGGAATGCGGACGAAGACCTAATCGCCTCGGACACTCTTCTGCAGGACGTCAGTGGAGCTTCGGCAATTGTAGCACGCCCTGATGTGCCTTGTGGTTTCGCTGGCTGTCTCATGTCCCTCCATGGGAAAGTGGCTTGCATTGTTGGCGACCCAGCATGCCATTGCCAGGCGCGTTCTTTCTGCAGTGTTCAGGGAGTTTGATGTACAGCGTTTGTTGTACGAGGGGCTCTCGCTAGCTGATACTGGCATGGATGTGTCAGGTCGATTTCTTGTTGTTTGGATCCCGTACTGCTGCAGGAAGCCAGGGCGAAACTCATCACTTTTGGTGCAGGGCGCAACCTGCGAACCAGTGCGGCACTTGATATGCCTTGGCTTAGCCTTTGGACTTCAGACTCTGCGCGTCGTACTGCTGCGTGTCGTACTGTGTGCACAAAGCCTCGCGGCTCACAGGATTCCGCCAAGAGGCGGAAGCGCGACGCCCACACCACAGGCCCCGGCTGGCCTCAGAACGATCGCTACCCACTCCCACAAGGAAACGGGACACGTGCTACAGCTTTCTTCAGATCGAAAAGGCTGCGCTTGCGACTGCTTTCCTGGATACAATAGCTACGAGTATGCTACACTCAATGGCTGAAGCAAACCGCCCAAAGCAGGAAAACCTGGGCTTCTCCAAGCACCATGTATCACACTGCATAGCCACCTGATAAACAGAAAGTTCGAAAGAGAAAACGTAATCAGAACCCCTGCACCTCGCGTAAGCATCGCTGCTGCCGGGTGCAAAGTAGGTGTTCGGCCCGGGCTGGATGCCTGCGCACGACCACGCGACGCCGGTGGCCGCTGATCGCTTGCGGCGACTGGCTGTCAACAAACATCGCCCAAACCTACCTGCCCTCTCTGCAAGTCTCTGTCACACGCCTGCTTGCATCGGGTTGTTCAACATGCTCGCCCCGTTCGCTGGAAAAGGGCCACTGCCGGTCTTCCTGAGAAGGACCACTGAACAGCTCACAGATGCTCTTCACGGTCTTTCCGATATGATCAACACATCTCTTCTGCTTTGCAGCAAAGTGATTCGCACCGAGGGGCGGCAATTCAACACCGCCGCAGGCTTGCCTGAAAACTCACTGAAAAACACTCATGGAATGTGCGGCCAAGTTGACAACTCTGCAACTAGCACAACATGCGTTGACGTGTGCTCAACACCCCGGCACCTCGCATAAGCATCGCTGCTGCCAGGTGCAAAGGAGGTGTTTGGCCCGGGCTGGATGCCTGCGCACGACCACGCGACACCGGTGGCTGATGATCGCTTGCGGCGACTGCTCCAAGCTGTCAACAAACATCTCCCAAACCTACCTGCGCTTTCTGCAAGTCTCTGTCACGCGCCTGCTTGCATCGGGTTGTTCACCATGCTCGCCCCGTTCGCTGGAAAAGGGCCACTGCCGGTCTTCC